GTAGTTACACCATAATTTATAAACATACTATTTGAAAGAACACTATGTACACAGAAATGATCTTCAGAAAATATTCATTACTAGGAGGTGGATTTTGATGTCCTAAAACATGCCCTAAATGACCAATAAAATGCTCTTAAAATATTTTTAAAATGTCCTAAAAACAAAGAAATATGACGTAAAAATTGATCATAACCACTTCAAATGAACAACTCAAGCTGTTGCATATGTTACTGATGCTTCATCGAGGCTTCTTTTTGTTCAAGTGAACTCAGCTAGCAAACTTTTGGTTTGGACTGTTCTTTAAAAGAATTCCTCTGCCAGTATTTATCGCGAAATCTGCCGACCTAACAATGGTGCCGATAGGTTTCACAACAACCCTATATTAACACAGTATCCTCTACGGCTGACATAATATATGAGCGAAAAAATCGAAAAGGCTACTCAGGAATTCTGTGGTGAACATTTATTGCATCTCGTAAGTATTGTTTGAAGCAAGTACCATTAAAATTATATCAAAGTAGATGAAATCTGCACAAAATGCATTAAAAATGACGTGAAATTTTAAAAAACTACTTATTAGTCGAAATCAACGAAAAAAAACAACAACATAAAAATTGGTCATTTCGTTTTGTCATAACAAAATGAATTTCTATACTCAAAGGTTCTAAAGTGAAAAAAATGACATTTAGTTAAAATCCACCGTCTATTCATTGCTACGTATGCTGAATAACCAAGATGAGGCTGAATATGATATATTGGCTCATATTAGTAGTTATTTGTCAATTTCTCTGACATTTTACTGAGAGAGTATGATAAAATCTTTTCGTTCTGGGGAGTATTGTACAACATCCTCCAAACAAAAACACATTACCAAGGTTACAGTAGACAAAAAAATTAAAGAAACACACAAAAGTATAGCTGATATAAGAAGTAAGTATGAAAGTGTACATTCTGAAACCTTAGAGAAGTAGGCGAAGAATCGAAGAGATTCAATGCAAATTACAAGCCACTTTATTATTAAACTTTTGATAATGTGGTCAAACCGATCAATTTGAGTAGTGTTGATGAAATAAGATTAAGCAATGAACTTACTGTATTTTATAGCACCTAAGACATTCAAGAGAAAGCCCATATGAACTGTTAAACTTTTGAATTCCATACCGCTCTGCTCATGCTTTCCACAACTTACGCTCCTTGTATCACAGATATATTATGGTCTAAGGTGGCCAATTTCTTTTACAATGAAAAGGACGAAAAAAATTAAGAAAAAAGTACAAGGTAAATAAATTAAATATTTTATTAGTTAAACAAAAATATATTACTTATGCTTACGACTCATTTAATTATTTAATAAAACGAGCATTTGTTCATTGAATGAATATTTTGTTTGTAAATATATCATTCTCTAATAATATATTGAAAATTTCAGAAGAAATATCCGTCATCTTGAATTTTACAGAAAGTGGTACAGTTAGAGTATCAACATTCAAGTTTGATTTCTCGCTTTTCCAAAAATCTGAAATACTGAAGCTGAAACTACTGAATACGGCGAGAATTCCACCGATCTAGCAACACTAATCGCATCTTTCCAAATTGTACCGTCACAAGATGCGTAACATTTCGGCGTGGCATATCTGAATACTGAGATTAACAGATTTGTTTTAAAAATATCGAAAAGGAGGGCAGGCAGGAAGACATTTCGAGGGAGGCAAGGGAGGCAAGACACATTTCGAGGGAGGATAGAACCCACAAAAGGAGGGCTGTACTCCCTAAAGGAGGACGATTGGTCATCTCATCAATTCCTGTATCAACAGCATCGGTAGAAAGAATGTTTTCAACTCTGAAAATAATAAGAACCTATGCTCGAAAGAGCAAGTGAAAAGAGATTATACAATTTAGCCTATTCTCTATTGCGGGGGTGGCCAACGTTTTATCTTAAAAGTGTGTCGCAATCGACTTAATGTCAGAGGTGTAGTCTAAGGGGGAAGGGGTCTGAAATGCATACTATGTTTATACACTGTGTTTCAGCATATGGTGCATTCCAGCGAGGTACATAAGTAAAATATATGTTCAATACTATTTTTACTTTCCCGTATTCGTAATATAGGGAAAGTTATGTAATGCTACGGAAAATCGATTTCGAGATTTCAAAGGAAATACACGTTTTGGGGTCCCCTGATACCGAAAAAGTGTTTTTTGAAAACGTCCGTCTGTCTGATAAGTTAATTTATTCAAACTGCAATTGGGTATAACCCGATGGTAGCTAATTACATAAATAAGATATATCTAACATGCACATTATAAAGAAATAATATAATAACAACAACATTAATATTAATAATAACAATGGTACAATAATAATCATAGTAACAACTATAAGACTAACTCAAGAACGGCTAAACCAATTTCAATTATCTCTGATTCGTTGGATTAATCTTCGACCCGAATAGCAGAATAACTATTAAATAAAAAAATAAAAAAATTAACTAGATGGCGCTATTGAACAAAACTAAATGTTCATTGCAAATGCAACCCGCAACACATACGGCAGAGTTTTTTGAATCTATATCATTAAATAACTCCTAAACAAAGCATTCTAGGATATCAAAACTAAAATATTGAGAACAAAGGCCTCAAGTAAACGTTTCTACTGTAATCTACAGCATGATATATTTTTGAACATTCTATTACATTTTGCTGTGGGGTGGAGAGAGGGACTAAGAGAGAGAAAGGGAGATGAAAGGCAGAACGTCAATTATATATATATA